TGAACAATATTTGGCATAGACTCTAGACGCACAATCCAGTTCCCAGGACCAGGTTCCTGTCTTTTAACAAAATATCTTGATAGTACAAAAATATTATAAAATATACTGGGATATTTGTTAATAATATTAATATTGTATAGACTGACAGTTGACTGCCCGTCTTCACTCAGATCGTTTTTCGTACTAAATGTTGGTACAAATTACAATTCGTATTTTTTATTACCTAAGATGGTACAAATAACGCATGTTGTACATATTTTAAGTCAATTTGCTATGGCTGATAAAAAAGATGAATTGATGCATGCCATTCAAATTTCGTCTACAAGTATTTAAATAAACACACACTTGTGAACAACTAAATTTTAGTACGAAGTGTACTTAGGACCTGATCCTCCAGAGAACCACTGAACTAGGTAATAGGTAGCATTAATATTTTATTTATGAACATATACCTTTTGATTTTGAAAGCCGATTTTTCTCCATCRCCATGTCGCTTATAAAATGGTTTTGCCTCACTAGAAACGACGGCGCCGTGGTTAACTATGCAAGATGGGCATCTCCATTGCGATTCTGATTTATCGGTGTCTGTTAAAGGTTGAAGGCATTCAAAATGATATTTGTTATCACATTCATTGCATTTTAATAAACATGTTATCTATATTTATACAATAAATTTAATGCGACAGTTAATTTTATTTTTATTTGAAGTGTAGATATATATATATATTACATGTCTTGCAAATACTGAACATGGCGGTTCCGATGCGCATGTCCCACAGTCTTTACAGAACCATTGAGAACCTATAGTTAGGAATTCAGCCCTAGGTCCGTAATAAACTGCGGAACATGAACGATGGAACGAAACCCCACAATTTCCTGCACATTGGTATAATGGTTCCAGGTCACCAGATAAGTTTTTTCCTGACGTACTAAGGCAGTTCTTGCAAGGGTTTCCGATAGCCTGTAATTAAAATCACAATACATAATATTTATTTTATAAATACTGCAAGAAATAGGTAACAACGAACCTTTATGATCATGTTCAGATTTTTTCCTCGGCACTTATTATCCGAGTGTGACGGTGGCCTTTTTATTTTTCTCCCAGGACCATGGAGCGAAATCGAAGTTTTTGCATGTTTAGACGAATCCAATTTAATCATTTTGGTTTTTTGTYTAGTATGCTTGGCAAAAAATGTATTATTATTTTTTTCGTATGATTCCAATCAATATTAATTTGTTTGCTTTGTGTGTCTAGTTTCTATGACTATTAAACAATATTACTCATATTATAGCAGTTGATAAGTTACTTTATATACGAAATAAATATCGAAATTTGGTAGTAACAATTAATGCCTGATAGTTTGACCATATAAACTAATAGACGCACCATATAATATATAATGTACGAGAACAATTATGTGTAGCCCACATGTTTAGTGATATAACCATATAACGTCAAGTTTATGCAAAATAATTAGTAATAACAATATGAATAATAAGTAATAAATAAAAATATGAAATAGTTAATACTACTTAACTACTACGTAATCTGAGTGAAACTGAATTTAATATTGAGCTTGTTGCTTGTGTCATCAAATATACCTACAATATTATTCCCTACTATTAGTGAATAATACTTACAATGATTTATTTTCCAATGTCATTTGAAGGGGGTACAAATTTGTAAGTATAGGTACGAGTTTCTTATTCTCCATTTATAAGTTAACTGTACTCTGTGCAGACTTCTACATCATAYGTGTTGTTATACACAATGCAGTTGACTCAGGCTATAAGTTTTTGAAAATTGCATCAGTGTAAGAAAAATGTATCTATTGGACAATCGGTACCCGCGAAAAAACACAGCATGCAGACGATTGGCCTCCATCTTTATATTTTAAAGTTAATTCTACCTTTTTCAGACAAGGTGATTTTAATATTATTTGGATAGCCATAAACGTCTTGTTTTATTTTCGTTAAAAAAAAGCTTTATTTGAAACAAATATAATTTTAAAGCCCAACAGTGGTTGGTGAATATGAAACTCAAAATAGCTATCTAAAACTAAGGGTATTAGATTTTTTAAACATAGACAAATTTAACTCTATACCACTTATTTTAATAATTGGAAACTTTTCATTTAATAAATGTGTATAGATATATAATTAATTAGTGCTAAGTACATTTGTAAATTTTAGATAATGATTTTAACTTGACGTATTGATACGAAGCGTTGAACTCCAACGTTCGTCGTCGTGAAATAAACAACAAACTGCGAGTATTGGTAATCACATCAATCTATTGCTATATCGAATAATAATAATTTTACAATGTTGGGGCAAGTAAAGCGTCGATCTGCACCACCCAGACTTGATAAGTGAGGTGGCACAGTCGGTGGTGCTTGTGGCTAGTCGGGCACAGGCCAGACTCTATCTACAATATCGGGTATGTTAAGTTTTTTTACACGATGGTGGCGAAGTAAGTTTGGAAAAGATCAACTTATGTAAGTGTCTTATAAGGTGGTGGTGGCTCTGAAAAGAGCCGTTTTCTGTGTTGTTCGACTGAGTCGGTCGCCACGCGAAATCTATCGGATGGCCGATGGGTTCGGGGTCTTCGGACTGTCCTGGTCGATCGTCGTGGTTTCCGGTAGACAACCGTCGTGTTTCTCTAGGTTAGGTTGAGTCGCTGAGTGGGTCGTAGTCTTGGTATCCGGCAACAGTTTCACTGGGTGATTGGCAGTCAGCGGATAACGGCTTGTGCGTTGTATACGTCGTGGCTGATGATCGTCGTTTAACTTGAGTTTCCAAATGACTCYAGTTCTTCGTAATTGATTGTTCAACTGTTGAAAAGTTGAGTTTTGGAATTGGAATGACTACATTGCTTTGTTTTGCTTTGGGGGGATGGCTATTCCGTTAACTATACCAGGCTTTCACCTCTACTAGTGGGGGGAGAGTATTAAGAAAGTTTTTAATGGTTAGTCCAAGTTAACGGGTAAGGTTTAAGTTGTTTTTTGGTAGTTGGGGGGGGAGTGAGATTTACCTAGAAGGCGGATATGATCATGATCTGAAAAGGAATTTTCATCCATTATTATATGTATACACAACCACAAAATACCTCAAATAATCGCTTTAAGTTTAAACTATAAATTAATAGATAAATAAGAAAATTTTGAAAGTGTGATGTATAAATCYTTTTACAAAATAACATTATTGCTGTGTACCGATGAGGCGATGAGTGCCGAGTGGTGTGCGACCGCAAAAGAATTATAATATCATATCATTATAAGTACTATTATATATACTYGTATATGACTGTTATCAATAATATCGTTTCGTAAGTTATTGCGATCGATTTGATGTCAACGATCRACGTACTTATTTTCTACACTAAACAGTCGTTATAGAAACACGGAAAACACACTATAGCGGTGCGCAACACGTCTTCCGTGTATATAATCGTTTAAGTTGAATTATAATTAAGGATCGTAGTAAGTAGAAATTGAGGACCAGAGGGTGGCCGACCCTAATAGTTGTGTGAGAAACTGAGAAGGCGAAGGAATAGAAGAAGTTGAATTATAATTATTGCTTATTATTAATTTCTAATATTATTCACAGTATCGTAATACAGTCCACATACATAAAATAAAACATGATCTTTATTAATTGATATATTTTATTTTTTCGTGGTGTTGCTCATAACGTGTGAAAACAACAATATAATTATAACCTGATCAGCAATATGTATACGGCGATACAAATCTAATCGTTGATTCATCTGCCACCGCACTTCGTCTACTGTTTTATAAACCCGACATCATCACCCGTGTGGCCGTGTCATCTATTGTAAGTTAGGCATATATAATATGTTTTTTGCTGATGATGTAAGCGTTTTGCCATGCACTAAAACGCCAACAACTTATATTCATTTCAGTTACACGCAATTCCGATGTCGTACGCTGCTGGTCTGCGATTCTGGCGATTTCATTTCCGAATGGATATCATCTGTTCTTCTATAGCATAACTATTCGAGCTGTATTCATTTCAATCAATCGATCTTGGATTGCGCACGTGGAGGCATAGATTGATTAGAGTTCCTGTTACATTATTAGCAGTGTTTATGGCGCAGAACTAGTTAAATTATATTACTCCGTTCAGTGATACATCAGCCCCCCACCCTTAAGCAAAATACCAAGCGGCAAGCAGTCTTACCTAAATGCGAATTTCGTATTAATTCGTGTGAAATTCCAAAATATCGAATGTCGTTTGAACAATAGTAGTGATTATTTTGTGACTTAAAAAGCATAGTTTCTTCAAACCCACAAAGCGGACTCATACCTAAATGCTTCACCTGATGTTACTTATTTGTGTATTTTGTAAGCTAGTTGAATCCGAATTCAGAATAATTGAAGCAACAAATAATCTAAATAAGGAAAATATGATTGAGATATTATAGATCAAATGTTTACCGAATATGAAGAAATCAGATTTTTAATGTTTACATGATCATATTATGTTTGATGACGATGCTTAAGGAAATCATATAGGTAATTTGTTTAATTAAAATTATAATTGCCAAATATTTTAAAATTAGGATTTCATCATAAATTTACGAAATAATAAACGTGTTCGCAGTGTATTAACCAATCTGATTTTATTTTCTAATCAATAAAATTGACTTTACTTTTAAATAAGGTAGTAATCACTACAATTCACAAAACTTATTAATTATTATATAATATTAAGTAAGTATTTAATTAAATATAATAATAATATCTGTATAAAAAAATGTTGTGTTTTCATTTTATTGACAATGATTTTAAATAAAATCAAAAATATTTTATTGGTGATGGGTTTGGATTTGTATATAAGTGCATTGTTTGCATTATTTACTGGTTGACCCGCAGTGATCGTATAATATAGTGAGTGCTAAACTGCTAAGTACAAAATGTTTCGAGGAGGGTTGATTAAAAATACTAATTATTTTAGAAGTAGATATTATATAGAGCTTATTTGTGCACATTTCAAAATTGTACAGTTACTACAGTTTATAACCACGATCGGCAATTGGTCCGAATCCGGACCGTGAAACGCAGAAAACCTYCGGACCGTTGACACGTCTTAACATTTTTTCTTCGTATTACTATTATAAAAACATAAAGATTTAGCAAAAATTTTTTTCACTGAACCTCGTTTATTTATTATTTTAATCTTCCGGACTCCAATAGAAATTACTTGTCAATACTTACTTGTCCCTGGTTTATGAKATCATATTTGTAGTCTTTTAAAAGTTTTAATGGTACTATGTTGTACTGTTTAGTGATTTTTAATACATGTGAGACCTAGAAATTGTATTATCTGTTATTATTAATATATTAGATTTATATGTATATGAATGTATATAGTCTAACATAATTTAATTACATTTTCACTAATAACTCAATATTTAACTATCCATYATACCTATAAGAGAAGTGATAACAGACAGAATCTAAGCAAGATCATTTAATTATTAGTTATGGCAATAACGGATTAGTCGCTGACAGCTATATTATACCTACTATTAATACTAGCATAAACATACTATATTACTATTCATAACGTACAATACGCCAATAGGTCTTTTGTAATTAATAAAAATACTCGTATTATCTGTATGGGTAATTTAAATAATGAATGTCAAATGATTGCAATAGCGTTGGATATTATATTCTATACGAGTACCTATATAGGTACGCTGTATACGAAAAAGTAGTCAGTCGATGGTATTGCTCAAACGTGACGTCATACGGTACACGACGATGTAGACRTCTTTTAGTTTACATTATGGTCKAAGGCTTGATATAACAACTTTTCCGTGGTATTTATTATTGATAATATTCATATTTGTCATGGTAAAAAAATAATATTATTTTCCAATATAAAAACACGTTATYTGTTGTTTTACACTTACACGMGACCAAATGATTTTCCGTTGGTGCGTGCTGCGTCTTATGCCATGTAAGTATGTGTACGGTATCCTGGACACTGTGACGCCGCGTCATTTTATCGAGGGTTGTTATGGCTATCGTTAATCGTTTATTAGTACCTTATTACTGATACGGCACAAACAACAACACATAAAACGGCCGTTCTCACGGCCACCAATTTAATGCACATATCAAGACAGAATCATACGAGCAACCGTACATACGGATAAGAACTAGGTGATTCTTCACAAGTATGCTCAACGATTATGATGAGCGAAAATGACATCAACGGAGCAGAATAGATCATAGGATCGAGGTCATATTCACTCGTCATAACAGAACTCTCCG